GTGTCTAGGTGGTTCTGTCAAAGTAAGCTGGTGGATTTACAGGTCTATAGCAGAAGGAGGGTCTGGGCTGAGCGTTGACCAGCATTTGGGATTTGATGAGATGTCATTGAAGCCATGGGAGGGGACAAGGTCTCCCAAGGAGAGAATATGGAGGGAGATGAGAAGAGGGCCTAGGACAGAGCTTGGAGGTGCTCCAGCATTTAGGGGACAGGCAACGGAGAAGGAGCAGCCGGTGAGGGAGGGGGAAATCTGAGTGAATGTGGACAGGCTTGTGGCCTCTGGGTTGTTCTGTCCATCTCTTATTCTGGTATTTTCAGAAGGAGCTCAGGATTAGAGTTTTTCTACTCACAGTTGTATCACACTTTAAAAACACAAGCCCCATGCTCTTGGGCTCTCCTCACAGACATGGCATGCTATTGGGTATTATAAATAACAAACATTTTTACTGTTGTTGGCCTCCGATGAAGCCTGCTAAGAGTCCCGAGGGAGGGAGGTGATGAATGTTCTTGTTTTATAGGCAGAGATGTAGAGTCAGAGGTGTGTGACCATTTGGAGAGCTGGGAAGCTGTCACCTCCTATTGTGTTCTTAACTCTTGGAGGTAAACCTCAGAGGCCCGGATCAGTTCAGCAAACTTTCAGAAAAGGGATACTTTTACTACTGTCTTTGAGGTTTTTAGTGGCGTAGTGGGTTAAGGTCTTTTGAGGCAGGGAGTTTGACAAAAGGCTCAAAAATATGGCTTCATATCCCCCGCGTCCCCACCACCATTTGGAAGTCAATTTGGGGCAGCAACCTCATCTTTTTAAATATAAATATAGTACATCCCATCTCATTTTTGTTTATCTTGCAGTTTAGGGGAGCAAGGCTCACACAAGTGAATTGTCCTCATAACTGAAGCTTGCTGTTTTAACTTTTCAATGGATCAGTGGCAAAAAATACAGTATTGTCAATGTAACTTTTTATCGGTGCATCAGGACAGCAAATGGCCCCAGTTACGTAGATATTCTGCTGCTAGCCTTCCTCTGTGTGTCCCCATAAGGCAGCCTTCTCTCACTCCCCAAACTCCTAACTAAATGGAAAGGAAACACAGTAATCTGTGCATAAACAGGATTACAAAGAGAGAATGAGTGCCTAGACTGCTGCTGGGAGGTTGTGCCTGACAGCTAGCTAGGATTTGGAATTTGGATGGGGAGGGGAAAGAAGAGGGCTTTAACTTGGGGACAGGGAGCTCTTAGGGAGGAAGGGAGCCCATGGGAGTGGGGCAGCTTGTGGGAACCGAGGCAGCCTGAGGGTGGTCGGGAGGTGCCTGGAAGTGAAGGGTGGCAGGAGAGGAGGGCAGAGTGGGGCTGGGAGGACAATCTTGCTCTCTTTGCCGTTTTGCTTAGGGCAAAACCATCCCTCTTGCTTAGCCTATAGAAACAAGGTTTATTAGTAGCTTTTTGGGTCAGAAGATAATATTTTTGGCTCCAGATGATGGGAAAGCCTTTGAAAAGCAAAAGAATGTCTTTCCTGTTGTTCCAGTAAGCCGATTTTTTGCAACTAGTTTATGACTTCAGTATTTCACTACTTAGCAGATTATTTGAAAGCTCTTTTGGGGGTAATCAGGGAAGAAAAAAAGGAACACATACAAATGCTTCCCACCCCACCCCCTTCCTTTTCAAAGTAGGAGCAAGAACCAATTTGTAAAATCAAAACC